TATGGATCAAGTTTGGGCTAACACAGGAAATTCTAAATATAATTTATATATTGTATAATTATTATGTAATATATTATCAAATAAAATTAAAATAAATTTAAATTTAATTAGGCACAAAAAAGCCAGTTTTATTTCTAGCAATTGACCACTATATTCCCGATAAGTTGTATTTGCTTTTGCACATATCAGATGTTTTGATAGAATGTTTGTTCAATGATCTGTTAAAAAAAAAAAAATTTGAAAAACAAGTTAAACTGATCGTTGAAGCAGCATTTAAGAGCTTTTCAATTCAATTCAAATTTTTTAAATCGACAGATAATAAATAGACTTGGACTTCGTTAATAGGCTCTGATAAAAAAAAAATGTTAGAAGAATTTCTGGTAACTCAATTTATTTCCAGTGCACGTGGGCAAAATATCGAACAATTATAGTATGAATTTTACCAATTATATAATATTTTACGACAATCACAACTTACTGATCAAGAAATTCATCAATATAAAATTGATACAGAAAATTGGGTTCGAGCTTTTTGTTGTCTATCTAAAGGTTATATAAATTCGTCACAAAATTTTGGACTTTATCGAAAAGCAGATATAATACCATACATGCATATATTTGCAAAACATATACCTTTATTTATGCAGCAGTTAAAAGCTAAAGGTTTTTCTTTACAAATTTTTTCTACTTCGAGTATAGAAAAAAAAAATCATAATCAGGTAATATAAGCTTGTAATTAAAATTATATTTACACATACTTTCTAATAAATTTATTATTAGGTTCGAATATTTTTTGGAAGTACTACGATGGGAGGTGGAAATAAAGAACAATCTGTTGTCTACGATATTATGTCCTTTGAAAATCGGCAACTTTTTTATTTAATTAATAATACTTCTAAAGAGATTACTATACAAAATATCAATGCAAATAATAAAGAAAACTTATTGTATTAAGTAGCACTAGTAGGTGGTGCTGAATATCCTGAAACATTCTACGGTATCATTTCAGCTTTAGAGAATCAAAAAAAATTATTATGGGAACTTATACTAGATGGTTGTGTTTATAGTGCTGAATTCGAGATGCTAATGAATTGTGAAATTTGGAAATTCTTCGTATCAATCATTGCGAATATTTGAGACTATGTAGCAAAGTATTAATGATCCTAACAAATAATGAAAATCAGCAAAAGCTAATTTTCAGCTTAGCTAGTTAAATCGGTTAGTCAAAATTTTTATATTAATGATAATTTCACGTATAAACTTTTATCATTACAAAAGTTGTCATACACTTGGTTAAAATTTATGAATAATTTTAAGTGTAAGTAGGATGCCGATGGCATTCTATAACTTTAAGTTCAGGTAAGGCTAAAATTTAAATCAACAATTTGACATAACGATAAATTTTCAGTGTTACTATTATAATCAATGAAAAATAAAATTTCTCCAATAGCAATGAAACTCATTAAAATGTAATTCGAAGTAATCAAGAATATACTTTATTTTCATATGAACAAAATTATTGGTAAAAAAAATATACAAAACACTCGTGATGGATGATAATTTATTATAAGAAGAAAAATAAATCAGTTGTGCAATATAATACGCTAAAACCAGAAACTGATCACAAATAAATAATATCCAAAGTTTTGAAGATTTAAAACTTTAATAAATTATTACATACTTAATACTATAGTTGTCATCGTGATACATACTAATAATTACATAAATTTTGAGTACTGTAAAGCTGCAAACCGTAAATTATATTCTATATTAATCTTTTACTTAAAATTTATTTAGAATTACTCAAAGCTATAGCCATAGGATTTCATATCATATCAATTTAAGGATAGTAAGAAAGTTCTATATAAGCCAACATTCTGGTTAAATTTGGAATCATAGATGTCTCATTTATCTGCTTTTTTCAATGTTAATTTTTAAATTGTTAGAGGATTAACATATAATTATAAGTTCTATAAAATACATACCACACTTACAAGATCTCTATGAATATTATTATCATGTAAAAATAGAAATCTGAGCGCTGTTCTTAGTGATACATAGTTTATCCATCTGACCATCGTAATTTTGTAAAATTAGCTTCCAGGACTCAAACTTTTATTGTTAGTATATTATAAAGTTCATTGCTATTTATCTAATTTATATTAAATAATACCTTCATTAATATGATTATCTGATATCTTCAAAAACTATATATACTGATCAAAATTGAAAAGTTCAGCATATTGATCGGTAGAATTCAAGTGGCTAACTTGCTATTCAACATTATCATATGACTTTACGGACATGCATGTCCGTAAAGTCATATGATAGTGTTGAATAGCAAATTGGCCATTTGAATTCTATCAATTAACATTCTAAATTTTACAAGAAATTGCTTGATTATCTTTTATGATCCTATGAATTCACTGCATCAGTATGAAGAACTATTAAGAGATTAGAGAATCTAAATGTTATAAACAAGATTTTTTTTTTTTTTGTTTTTTTTTTTTTTTTAATTGAAATATTCAACGATCAAAAATCCAGTGATAAATCTATTATTTAAATATATCGCTTGTGTACTATATTTCTAATGATAAAACAGATTTTAATTATCTGTTGAGTTCTTGAAAAGGTACCTGAGATAATATGAATCTATAATTTTTTTGAGTTGATCCATTACTTGAAAAATCTTTATTTGGAACAACCTCATGCATCTGTGGTAGATTCATTGCTTCTGGGGTAATGTGATTCATTTGGGATACGGCGGGCCTAATAAAATAGGTTAAATGTATAAAAAAAAAAAGCAATACAGTAAAATTTTTTGCTAACAAAAAATCTTTTAGATACTGAAGGATCGTTTTGTTAACAAAAATCCTATATTCGAATTCTTACTGTTGAGAAAATTCTCCTGAATCTGCTACGAATTTACAAGTGACAGTACTGCATTGAAAAATATGATTATTCTCCTTAACTTCTGATTGCGACCAGCTAAAGTTAACTTCATATGAACTCTCATTATCTACAAATAGAACATAGCCGATAGTCTTTAATTTTGGATCTTGTCGAATGTTCCAATTGTCATAATTAATTAGCTGTTTTAATCTTTGTTCACCAGCCTCACCCTGAAAAAAACAAGAATACTTTCGTTGCACAGGACTATAACAGAAAGAAGGTTCACTTTCAAAAAGAAAAACAAAAATATTTTCTGGAAAAGCATGAATAGAAACTTGTTTTGTGCCTATCGAATGTTTATTAAAGCCAAGACGTTTTTTAACAAGAACTATAAACACATCTTGATAAAACATAATTTGCTCAAGGGATGGTTGAATAAGTAACTTGCGATGAGGTATGATCTTGTTATTTCGGTGCTTTATTCTTTTATAAATTACAACCTTTTTTCAAGAAGAAAGAATCTCTTGGCAAAGTTGACATTTACTCGCTATTGGAGTTCTCAATATATTGGCTAATTCTTCAGCAGTTGCTTGCTCTGAGATTCTGCATCTAGCATTTATTCATCAGATTCAAAAGTAATAAACTTCGCAAGCTAGATAACGATTATTATTTAAATTCTAGTGATATAATCGAAAGGAATCATATGATTGGTTAATGTCATGTTTTGATTATCGTATGTGACAAAATCAGATTTATGTGACATATCGAATGGAAATAAATCTACCCATATGGGGAATTTAATATCCTGCAGTTGCTTCATATAATCTAACCAATTACCTATATGCACCTATAGGTAACCTGGTCACACTAATAAGATATAATCAATTAAGATAATACCCTAACCGGAGGCTTATCTGACCACCACCCTATAATAGGATATCACCAATCTGATGATATCTTCTCATAGGAAAGTAAAAGAAAAAGAAAAAATTTTATAAAAGAAACACAAAGATATAGGAGAGTATGCAAAAAAAACAAATAAAAGAAATAAAAGAAGGAAAGAGATTATAAGAAAAATGTAAGATTTTTATCCACACCGGATAGTCACAATTATAAGCCTGTGTTAGACTTTTTAAAAATTACATACTACTATCTAAACTATTCTCTACACTAATTTAAATACATAATATATCTAAACTTAAAACCTAAAAAACAAAAAAAGAAAAGCTTCTTTGATATAATACTACAAAGAGATCAGAAATTCGTACTATTAGGCTCGAAGCATCATTTGTTCAGGTTGCTACATTTGAGACATGTAATTCAATTATCCATATTCCTGTATCTATATGTTTGTTGTAACAGGTAATAAATATAAATAATATCACCTGATTTGGTAAGTAAACAATATATTGATTTTTTGGAGGCAGTAAGCTAAATTACTTACTTTTTTACAAAATTTTCTCTGAAAAAAAAGTGGGAACCAACAAGAATATGTGAGGTTCTTCTGTAAGTTTTATAGTCATATAGTTGATTTTTCAAAATATTACTATCTTAACAAGGGCTGGTCCACTCTTGCTTCTAGAATAAACTTTCTAGTTTGGATGCCAAATATTCTAAGAAGTCTGTTCTAAGAGAAGTACAAAACTTGACTTCAAGAAAAACTAATTAAGTTATATCTGCTTCTTGGTATTTTACATCTTTCAAGCTTCATCACAGCAACCTGTTTAGAGGTATGTTCAGTTCCCAGAAAACTCTTCTGGTTTGGATACCAAATATCTTAAGAAGTCTACTAAAAATACAAAAGTTTGATCTCAAGAAAAACTGCCCAAGTTATGCCCACTTCTTGGTATTTCATATTTATAGACTTTGTTGACTACTGCTTACTCAAAAACAGAACCAAAATAGTATTTATCTTGAAACTTTCTATAGCATTTTTCTGTAGTTCAGTTTTTTGTTACATTGTCTGGAGGATTATTGAAAAGAGTTCTGATAAGAAGATATATTGTATTTTTGTGTTTATTAAGTTTTGCTGACTAGAAAAACTTAATATTTTTAACCTATTTTTATTAAATCGAACTGCTTTGAAATGTATTTTGTTTTCAGCAATTTCAAAAGGAAATATTGAAAGCATCAAAAGTATATACAAAAAAGTCAATTAGGCTATAATTTATATATATATATTCAATAATTAAAATTTTAAGTTATAAAATAAATTATTACTAAATTATACCAGTGGTGCTTAAAACATATTTTTATAATAATTTTGGTAATAAAATTTAGGTTTAGAATTTGAAGAGTCTAGAATTAAAGGACACTGTATTTTTGTTTAAAATACAGTTATAATTGAGTAATACCACTCTTTTATTTTCTAATTTTTTTGGATATAACT